GAAAAAATGTGAGGGAAAAATGGCGTCGTTTTCTGTCTATAAATCACGATGATAGTTTTAACAACCATTCCTTATATGCCAATAGAGATGGTTAGCTCAAGGAAGTAAACTGAAAAGTGCTTCAAATAAATAAGTTTCTTCTACACAATTGCGCTGAGATTAATATGTTTAAACTAAAATATACTTCAATTTCAACTGTGATCAGGAAGAGGATCATAGCAAAGCGACGAAAATACAATGATATAATCGCACGGTAATACATTTGTATCAGAAGAAACAATTAACCCTTTCACTGATAAGGTTGATTAATTATTAAAATCTTCACATTATTTTGTAAGATATGTTTAACCTTTTCCACTTCCGTGAGATACCTCTTCCGACAGAAATATTCTTTAAAGTAGAAAAAAAATCTTCTTTTTTTTTCTGTTTTTATTGAACTACAAAAGCAAAAACATTTACTCGTATATAGAATATCAAAAGTTTTTCATATTCTTGAATATGACTCTTTTATTTGACGTATATGCGTTTCGTAATGCAATGCACAGGCAGACATTTATTTTGTTTCCTCCAATTTTTACTTTCATAGGTTTAATATAAAAAAACTGTTTCCCAGTATATATATTTACAACAAGTCATATAATTATATTCAATTTAACAAAATTGTCAACCTCATCTCAGTTATTGTTATTATTGTGATAAATGACAAAATATGTTTGCTTATTATAATTAAATCTTAATACAATGTAATGAGATTAATAATCAGAATAGAAAATGAGGGACCAAACAGTTTCCGAAAATCATAAATATTCACCAGTTGTCTTAGTAAAATCAAAGTTATTTGTTTAATGAGGAAAGTGTTAAGTTGGTTTTGGTCTAAAACGAACGCCGAACAGCTGATACTCGTGAAAGAGTGAAACTATAAAAGTCTTAAGTTATTTCACCGATTCTAAGTATAAAATCAGTTGCTACATATTACACACGGGAGTATTACATGAAAGGCCAGTTTATGCATACTGACACCACAACGGGTAAACTTTATTCTTCTCAACAAGTATACCGTGAATTATCTCGCATATATTTGCAAGAGGTCGAAATGAAATATTTTTTAACATTTTGAACATGTCAAAGTCTCACTTGCAAACGAAGTTTATGTAGTGAAATAACAAGAATAAAGATCAACAAGGCAAAGGCAACGTTCACAGGACGCCGCCCCGGGCACACCCAAGCAGGCAGCCAGAAGGCACCAAACAAGTCTATGTTTTGTACAATCTGTTGCAAATATCATTTCAATTTTCGTGATATATTATGCTCATATTTGGGTAAAAACTTTATTGAAATCTAATAACTTCTTACCGAATATGTCTTATTTATTTAAGAGAATGCAAAAACTATGTTTTGTCAAGCTGAATACCCCATAACTGTGTAAGATAAGGTGAGTATATTTGGTGCTGTCTTGAAAAATTCTTGATTTGTCTTAGTTTTAAATAGCACTATGTATTTATACTGTTTTGCCTATATTTTATAGAGTTTAAAGCGTTCAGATCTTCTCTGTGTGTATGTCAAAATGTGTTTATTTCACATTTTAAAAACTCGGTATTGCAATTTTCTTTTTCTTTTCAAATATCAAATTTGTAAATAACAAATCTTTACTTATTAGTATATTTCTATGAAAACATAACTTAAGACAATATATATTGCTACATTTATTGCACAATATCAACCAAAGATAACAATTATAAATAACAACAACAGTTACAATAAAACACATTATACATGTAAATGACTCACAATAAAAAAGCGCAAAATTACCCAATTAAAAGGTTTTCCATTTCTTAATAGTTATTTTTCACGCTTTAAACATTTTTTCTCATATTTCCAATTTGGTTAAAACAAGACAAAGAAATAAATATATAAACATGATGCATTCAAATAGTTAACAAAAATACAAGACCTCGCTTCCGTACCATGCTCTTTTAGAATAAAAAGTCGAGCATGTAACATGTCGCCGTTTAGATGTGTACCGGCAATTTGGAACATGCAAAAAAAATTCTCTTATTACCGTTTTATTGTTTGAAACAACAATTCAGCAAACAGCAAAATGGTGTGTTAATTGGTTAACCCTAAAATGTAATTAATGAATATCAAGACAAGTAACGTAATACTATGTTCAAATTGGGTTATGTTTTACCACTTAACAACTAACAACCTAAAATTTTACTAAGTGATAACTCTTAGACTTTCTAGTACATTATCTGGCAAATAATATAAAATCAAATATAAAAGCTTAAAAAATTCCATTTTTTTTTCAGAGATTCATATTGTACTTCCGACATTTTACTACATCTCTAATCTATAAATGACTATTTTCCTCCGACTGAGAAAGGTCCAGACCTTGGCTTGTCGACAAGGCCGATTGTGCCAGTTTACGACCACTGCTGCCATTGTGCTGAGTACTATATACCCTCATCATGCGTAAACTGAAATAATAAAAATAACGTTAATAAAAAATAAACATTATACATATATACAAATTTGTCGTTCAAAATAATTTAGGTGAAACAATATTAATATTTATGTTCATACAGACACAAAAGAACGACAAAAATATTTATAGGGAAAACTCAAAATTGACAAAAAATAATAAAATGTAAATAAAGGGTCAGAATAATGGAGTTAGCCTATGTTGAGCCTCGCTTATGACTATCGTGCGTACCTCCTCAGGCAATCCGGAATAACAATTATTGTTATCCGGAACTCGGCAAATGTGGTCTTTTTCCAATCTAATCCCCGGTACAAATAAACTTCTACTGTTAAAGTTTCAAGGTACACTAAAATAAATTATCTAATCTGATGCTCTTATTTTCGAAGTTGTAACTGTAAAAATTGTTTGTACCACCGGATTAGCTTGGAAAAAAATACCAACATATTCTTAATTCCGGAGAAAGTTTATTGTGCAGTACATTATTATTTGCTGACTGGACAATAATTATTTATTATAACTTTTATGTACATGTACTACATTGTTATCTAGATGTAAAATACTGAAATAATGTATTGATTTTCAGAACATTTCTTATCTTTTATAAATTTGTATTTGATAATTTTGAAACCAACGAAGTGGTAAACAAGCTATCGGTAGGTTCCTATTCCTATTCCAGCCAGAGATCTCTACGTTTTTATTTGGTACATAATATTGTTGAAGTTAGAACTACATATATGTCAACTTAATATAAAAAAGCTTATCAGTAGAAAGTGTTTAGGTCAAAAGGAACTGAAAGTTTACTGAGACATTGGCAATCATTTAAGTATAATATGCTGCGACAAAAGAAGCAGCCCAGAAAAAAACAGCGTATAAATGTTTATATACCTTCGACGACATCGTAGTAAGGCTTTGAGTTCTTTGTAAAATCTGTCATTTGTCGCTGTGTAAAGGTAGAAATTGATACACGAGTTAGAAAACTGAAGAATGTACGTGATACTCCAGGCTAGGTCCATTCTGGAAACTGCTGCACAGTTGTTTTCCTGTTCGTAAACCGGTAACAAGTAAGTATCAAGTATAAAATAGATAGAAATTGGTGCTGTAGCAATTAAGAAGTACAATGTACACGCCACTAACATTTTCGTCATTTTAACACTAAACCTAGTTGTCCGTTGATATACCGATTTATGCATCATCGAAGCTCTTTCCTTCTGAACTTTTCTCAGAACTCTGATGAGAAGAATGTTACATATCAACATGATAATGAACGGAACTGCGCTTAGAATTGAGAAGTCAATGAATGTAAAGATGTTCTCGTCGAAATAGAAGAATTCTGGGTTAAGTGAACCACATTCGCCTTCAGTATAATTGTTTATACCATTAGTAAAGAAAAAATGTCCATTTACTAATACTAAAATGAACAATGTTACAAACAAACCAATGATAACTGTTTTATAACTGAATAGACCCCGATACTTCATTGGAAAATATACCTTGATAAGTCTTTCTACAGTGACTCCAACAAGAATCCAAGATGATAACTGCATTGTCATATATAGAAAGAAATAATAAAGTTTGCAGTTGGCATTACTTGCCGTTCTCAAGTCATATTGAAAAACGTAGAGAATCCAGTATCTCGGGAGCCCAGTACACAAAACGAAAATATCACTTATCGCCAAACACAGAAGAAATGTCAGGGTCGGTTGTTTTCGAAATCCAAGGCGTTTGATTACTAATATTGTAAGGATATTTCCTGTTAATCCAAAACAAAACAAGATGGGTGGACATATTTTCCAAAGATAGTCCGAGACGGTATTTTCTATTCGGCTCTCACATTCTTCCGTGGTGACATTGCCAGTATCTTTTGATGGCCATGGATTTTCCGTTGTAACATTGTTGGAGCTACGAAACGATAATGTGTCAGACATTTATTACTTCTGTTGTTTTTAACGTTTTCTACAATAATTATGTGTCAGTATAACTTAACATAGAAAGATCTTAAGCTTATTTGGTAAATATTCCTAGTTTTATATCATACAAATATTAGTTGTATTTTCCTTTTTTCGGCAGTATGTACTAAATTAATTAAAAATAACAATTTTAGAGTTGATTATTATCGTTTAATTAACTACGTGTTGGCACCGTCCCGTTATTTCACTATGATAAAACAGACTCTCTCACTGATACATATATTATATTATCCTCTTTTTACGAATCCACAGTAAATGATCTGAGTTATCCAATGTATACATCTAATAGTAATAAATATTTTCATGTTACACAAAGAAGGAAATGATCTAACCACTTTCCCCTATCTAATCAGAATAATTTCAATAACGGTATCCGATAAACTTTGTCTCTATCACTCTACCAAGTTAAATTATAACCCTTGATAATTTATAATTTTATCAAGATTTTTGTCCCTTTAAAAAAAAAACAAAACAAAAAAAAACAAAAAAAAACAAACTTAAACTAAAAAATCCTAACAGATGTGTTTATCAGAATTTTTCATTATTCAGTTATTATAATATCTTAAAATACGATTGAAAGTTCCTTTTTTAGAGAGATTTTACACTGTTTTATAGAAAAATCATTGTATTGTATTTTTATTGTACAATGGTATATATATCATTCCAAATACTGATGTTTGTAACGTCCATTGTCATTGGCCAATCTCTGTATCATCTATATTATATACAAGCCTGTTACAAATCTGATTTATTTCAATGTAAGAAAACAATCGAGCAGTGATATATAATTTTGAGCTCCGCGTAAAACTATTGTTTGCTCTTAACCACTTTCCTAGCCGCTCAGATTGTATATAATTATTTTACATGTACTGAAATAAATAAAAATAATAGTTCACCTGTTTTAAGAATTTACATATTTATGTGATTTAGTTTTGTATGTTCTTATTTATTTACTTATTTATTTTTGTTTTAAGTCGTGCAAACACTGTAACGGTAGTATGGCTACTTTCTAACTTGACTGATCCGTGTGTTACTTCAGGCACAAACGGGCACCAGACTAAAGCGCAACGTTAGCTTGCTGGGTAGCTTCCTCACAAAAAGTCCAAAGTTCATCGCGGGATTCGAGCCCACGGTGGTAATTGGGAAGTGGTTTGAAGCCATTACGACCTTTTCCATTCGGCCACGGCGACCCGTGCTTTAATTTGATTCAAGCAATATTTTGTATATTGCTATAGCATACACATGTATATAAAAATGTAATGGATGTATACGAACACTCAGATATGTCTGACTTCTCATGAATGCAATCACATATTTTATTTATCATTACTTCTTCTGAATATTACATTTAACTTGGGACATCAGCGTGAAATTAAATAAGTTTATTGCCTTTTTCATTACTTCTTCTCTCTGTGGAGTTTGTTTACTCACGGTTCACATTGTCAGTGTCGTGATATCTAACATTTTACGATGACGAAATACAATTATCGAAATCAACTACGGCAGCTCTATTATACTGTACAAGTACATGATTGTGCAAGTGTAGTTTTATATATATGCTCTGGTTTAAATACAAAAAAATCACAAATTGGAAAGCGACGTTCAAGAAATGCAACCTTAGACAGCATCATGACATATAGGCTCCCCCTAGTATTACTTTGATTTGATTTGAGTGACAAGTCTTTAGACGTTCTGCCCAGAAACATTTACAACAATATAATATGATTACATAGACAGTGAATGATACAGTGAGGGATACAGACATGTACACAAAAAAAGTATTTTAGCATTCATTGAAAATTATATATCCATTTTATGTCTTTTCTTTGTCAATGTCTTTTATCTAATGTATAGAACATGTACATTGCAGAGTTTCAAATTTCGTTGTGTTAGACATTAATGACTAAAATTCAAGTGTTGGTAGCATTCTTTAAAATTCTGAAATATACCACCTAGTATGACACCGGACAGAAAGTGTAAATGCAAAAAGGCATGCAATGCACTTGTCACTTTTTTCTTCTCTGTAGCAGATATGAGATATTTTACTATTTCATATTCAAATATCCAAATATGATGACCTCTAGTACTTTAAAAGATTTTCTACTATATTTAAATGCCCACCTATACCCATGCGACACATGCTTTACATTTAAAGTCTAAAAAAGTTCAAGGATATAAAATGGTCACATATTGCACACCCAAGTTTCTGATACTTTTTGTGAACCTGAGTATATTTAATGACTTTTTAATGTTTGTTACAAAATATATTATTGCTAAAAGTACTTGATTTTAGTGAGTCATTTACAATAAGTATGAGAAGACCATCAAATGTTGAAAGGGTAAACGTGCGCTGTGGAACACAGTCAAAGAATCTAACATGGGGTGATTTCACAAAAGGGCATTTCATTCATTATTACAATGTGAGAATTGCTTGTAAGTTGTCAGATATGTAAATGATGAAGATTATTAGAATGAAGAAACAAAATATAACATATATATATATATATGTAACTTAAACTTAACTTCATGTATGCAATTATGATTTGCAAATATATGAAACAATACATGCCATGATATGTTCATGTACGGCCTTGGTTAGACAATAGCAATTCGGTATTTTATCTTTTACAAACGAAATGTTGCATTTTAAAAATAAACATAATGTATAAGAAATGTTGGAAATATAGATTTGAATAAAGGAAACACACGAAATAGTTAACTGACACGGATGAGATAAAGTAGACATGTATAATGTAAACAACATTAAATGTTAATGCTGCACTATATATTTACTGATATAATATTTATAATTTCCATGCGCTATCTGCTTTTTACTTTTATCATATTATTTAATTATTCATGAAATGAACCTTATGGTTACCATAAATTTACTTGCGGGAACTTTGCACTACCATATTTCGACGACCAAAAGCAATATTATAATGTAAGATAAGTGAAGAGAACAGTTCACCATTATATGGATATTCATAAAATATGTGACATGGCGTCATCGTGTCTTTTAAAGTGTTTTCATGCAGCATAGAATTTAATACGATTATCTCTCTGTTTAAATAGTCTGATAATATGTGATTCAACGTTTACTACTACTACTACTTGTAAAATGACTTATCAAATTGTATGCACTCATCAATAATTTTCTCTAGAAAAAAAAAAAAAAAAAAATAATTAAACAATTTCGTATTATTATTATTATTATTTTAGAATTGTGTAAGATATATAATGATAAACAAATTGTTAAAATGGATAAAAACTTCTTATTTACGTTTATTATTTTTTGTGTGTGAAGTAGACTAACAAAGTTTGATAAGATTTACGAAGACAAGTTTAAGTTTAGGTCAATATGATAACATTCAACATGAGTAACAAGAATAATATTCATTTCCTGTCTCATTCCAATGATCAAGCTAGTACACACTTTTCCTGTCATCAAGTATTCTTTATTTATTTTTTTTACTGTAAACTGTTGGAATGTGCCAAGTATTTTGATAATTTCATGCGAGTTACGCTATATTTTGAAATTAATCCTTTGCCTAAACCTTAAAATGATATCAACTACAACAAATACAAAACGTTTCGCTCACCAGACTTAAATATAAGTAAAGTAAGAAATATTTAAGTATACTTAAATAATGTTATTAAGCTTTCAACAATTATAAATAACAAATAGAATAAAAAATGCAGAAATTAAGAATGTCATTGAAATCATCTATTTAAGATAATAACGTGTATATCTAATATACCTGTAATCTTAAATTAAAATGTGCTTTTGTCAGTACATACAAAAAAATATTTTACAGCATTTAAAACATCGATTGAAAACGTAGCCATTATCTGTGTTATAATTGCATACATGTAGCATTTAGGCTAATCAATAACTTGAGTTACTTGAGTTGAGTCACATTTTTTTCTCGTTAACAATATAACATTGAAGACTATTTAATATTTTTCCTTGATACTTAATACCAGATTTAAATGATGTTTTATGTTTTGATAAATACGCTGTTAAAAAGGTCTTTTAATTGTAGCATTGTACATAAAGATTTATGACTTTTGTACTTTACACGTGTAATTTACAAGTACATGTATCCTGTCTTATCATTATTTTTAATATCATTATAATTATCATCATTATTATACTTATTATTATCATCATTATTATACTTATTATTTTCATTATAATTATTATTATTATAATCATTATCATCACCATTATTATAATCATTATCATCGTTATTATTATCAGTATCATTATTATTATTATTTTATTATTATTATTATTATTATTATTATTATTATTATCATGTGTAAGATACATACCAATTGGTTAAAAGAAATTTTTATTTACTTTATGTTATTTTTTATCTGTGAAGTAGTCTCACAAAGTTTAATAAGATTTACGAAGACAAGTTTGAGTTTATGTCAATATGATAACATTTAACATGAGTGACAAACATGCCATTCATTTCCTGTCTCATATTGAAGATCAAACTACTACACACTTTTCCTGTTATCAAGTATTCTTTTTTTTCTTCTTTTTTACTGTAAACTGTTGCAATGTTCAAGGTATTTCGATACTTTAATGCGGTTTACGCTTTATTTTGAAATGGTTCATTTGCCTAAATCAAGAAAAACAATATCAACGAAAACATATACAAAACGTTTTGCTCAACTAGACTTAAATATAAGTAAAGTTAATATTATTTAAGTAAACGATTATTCATGTTATTAAGCTTTCAACAATTATAAATAACAAATAGAATAAAAAATGTAGAAATTATGAATGTTATATAACATCGTGTATATTTAATATACCTGTAATCTTAAATTAAGATGTTCTTTTATCAGTGAATACCTAATAAGAGAAATATCTTTTACAGCATTAAAAGCATCGATTGATAACGTGGTCATTACCCGCGTTATAATTTCATTCATATAGCATTTAAGCTAATCAATATCTTGAGTATAACCACATTCCTGTTAAATTTTCTTGTTAACAAAATAACATTGTAGACTATTTATTTTTGTTTTCTTAATACTTAATACCAAATTTTAATGAAGTTTTATGTTTCGATAAATACGCTTTTAAAAAGTTATTTTAATTGTAACATGTTTTAAGGTTACCCGGAATATCTGATCTAAACTATTCTCAGGTAAAGATTAAAATGAACTGTAAGGTAGCGTGGAGTACCAAATAACCTTTTCAGGACACACAATAAATGAACATGCAATAAAAGTGCCATCAATACGAAAAAATTTCACATATCCTTAAGTTTTTTAAGCATGAAATTAACCGTATTGTTGCGCAAATTTGTAAATCTCATAAATCTAAATTTTAGTACGGATAATTTCCTTTTCAAAACGGCGTAATATCGTACTCTTTTAAATTTGAAAGCTTATAGCAATATCTTATTAAACGCCACAT